TGGTGCGAGAGAAGACCCGGAGTCTGGAGTGCTTGGCTCCTGTCAGGATTGGAAGCTCTGTGCAGTTCCCAGGTGATCCCCAGGCACTGGAACACAGGCCCAGAAGCCGGCCTGTTGTACCTGATGAAGCCGCCAGAACAGCTGCTTCCCTGGACTCCCTGGCTCCTGTGGTTTCCTGGTCTCTGGAATCTACTTTTTTTTCTCCTATAGAAACAAAGGCAAAACCCCTTCCCAACATAATACATATCCTAGTTTCCAAACTGAGGTCATAACATCCTTGAAACACACCTGTTGGTTTAGTTCAGAAGTTTTTTCTGTAGTCCAGTGTCATTCTGCAGCTGTTTGTCCTTTTTCATTAGCATTAAGAAAGTTCAGTGTTAGTAAATAATTATGTAATATGTGTTTGGGGGTCTTTGTTCCCCCTGGCTGTTTATGAAGCATTTCTTTTAAGGTGTGGTTAGATCTCTCAACCACTGCTTGTCCTGTAGAATTGTAAGGTATACCAGTTACATGCTTCATATTATAATATTTGAAAAACTGTTCCAATTTGCTGGAGACATATGCTGGTGCATTTTCAGTTGTTATTTGTGCAGGCATACCTATAACAGCCATCACTTCTAAGAGGTATGTGATAAGAGAATCAGCATTTTTCAGAGTAGAGGGCAATTGCCCATTGGAAGTCTGAGAACGTGTCTATTGTATGGTGTATATATTTCAAACTCCCAAATTCTGGAAAGTGAAATACATCCATCTGCCAAATTTCATTTCTACAAATACATTTGGGATTCCTGCTGGTAATAGAGTTTTATTATAGAATGAACAGGTGTGGCAGTTTCTTACTATTTCCTTGGCTTTTTGCCAAGTGATAAAAAAATCCTTCTTTAAGCCTTTGCTGTTGACATGGTGTTTCTTATGAAATTCTGAAGCTTCCAACACACTTCCTATTAATAAACAATCAATCTCTTCATTGTATTGTACTAGAGGACCTGGCAGACTCATACGGGATCTGATGTGTGTTATATATACATAGGATGAGTTCTATTTCTGATGGTTTCCTATAATTTCAAAAACAAAGAGGTTAATTCTGTATCATCAGGAACAAATTCTGTAGTCTTGATGTGTAAAACAGGACTGTCTCTGCATACCGAGAATATGCAAGTATATTGAGAGGCTCTGTAAATTCTTTAAGTACCATGAGAATGACGTACAACTCTGCATTTTGCACAGTTTCATGGGCTTTGAACTACTTTACTTATATTTCCTGATTTATAACCTGCCTTACCTGACTTGTTTGAATCAGTACAGACTGGAAGAATTCCAGAAATAGTTTTCCTTATAATACATTGAAGAATCCAAATTGTTTTCTTTATGAATTTGATTTTCTCTCTTTTGGAATAATTGTTACTGATCATTCCCATAATGTCACTCATTATCTTTCCATAAGGAGGAACTTTCCTAATTTGTTAAGAGTACAGCAACCTCTGCTGAGTCCTTCCCAGGTAGTTGATGAAGCCTTAATTTACCTTTTAATATCAAATCAGAAATCTTTTCTATATATGTCTTCAGTTTTTTATTCTGTTTATTTGGCAGAAATATCCATTTTAGTATTATGTCTTCCCTCTGCATTAATATTCCAGAGGATATTCTCTAGATGGTAAAATAACTAGAATGTAGTCCAGTATTGGATCCACACCTTCCACATGTGCTTCCAATATTCTTTATCCTACCCATTACAATTCTTTTTCAGCCTCAGATGATAATATTCTAGGACTATGTAAGTCTCTAGGGCCATTTTTAGGTGTTTTCAATCATGCCTTTTTACTCCAATAATTGTCTGTAGTTGAAAATTTCTCCCAGTAGTTTTTGAAGATTATTAAGAGTACCTTTTGTGGTCTAATTTTCTGTAAATCTATTTTATAACCTAAATAATTAATAGAATCTCCTCTTTGTATTTTTTCACGGGAAATTTGTAATCCCCAGAAGGCAAAGTTTCCTTTAGTGCTCCAAACATCTTTTCCAATGAGCCTTTATTTGAATCAGACAGCAATATGTCTTCCATATAATGATAAATTATTGATTGTGGAAATTGTTTACAAATTATTCCCAAGGGTTTCTGCACAAAATAGTGGCACAAAGTCGGACTATTTAATGTTCCTTGTGGCAACACCTTCCACTGAAATCTTCGTACTAGTTGAGAATTGTTATAGGTAGGCACTGTGAAGACGATTTTTTCCCTATCTTTTTCTTGTAATGGTATAGTGAAGAAGTAATCTTTTAAATATGTAACTATGATTGGCCATTCTTTAGGCATTAGAGAAGGTAGTGGAACCCCTGGCTATAGAGAGCCCAAAGTCTGAATTACCTTGCTGATAGGTCTCACATCAGTAACCATCCTCCATTTCCCAGACTTGATAACAAATACAGGGGAATCCCATGGACTAGTTGATTCTTCTATATGTTCAGCATTTAACCGTTCCTGAACTAACTTTTCCAAAACCTCTAACTTCGCAGAGGTCATAGGCCATTTCCCTACCCAGACAGTTTCATCTCTTTGCCATTTTAAAGGCAATGCTTTCAGGTGCTCTGTAGGTGTGTCACTAGCATCCTGTACCTGTACAACCTGCATATTCTGTGATTGCTTACTGTAGTGCCTTATAATATTCTTTCTACCACTAATAGCTTGCTTATAATTCACACCTGACACAGGAGGAATGTTAATCTGGGTGTTCCATTGCCGTAATAAATCACGACCCAAGAAATTCATAGCAATATCTGTGACATATGGCCTCTAACTTCCTCTCTGTCCTTCTGGCCCAATACATTCAACCCATCTCGTTCTTTGTTTAACTTGAAATAGGGTCCCAATTCCTAAAAATTGAACATTTACTTCTTTTAAAGGTCAAATTGAGGGCAAATTTTTTAAGTTATGATGGTGACATCATTACCACTATCCAGAATCCCAAAAATACCTTATTATTCATTTTAACTGGTCATTTGGGTCTGTGATCCAGTACAGAAGTTTGCCAAAATATATATTTGTTGTTTCCTCTATTAGCAACTGTTTCTTCCTCAAAAACTAATCTGTCATCCATCGTCCATTAGTCTTTATAATAAGCAGTCGATCTTCCATTTCTCCTGAGAGAAATCTTCCTCTACAGTGACTTGGAATGTCTGGACCACTTTTGATAAGGTGGCCTTTGAGAGGCCCCTTGAGGAGTTTTCATATTGTAAAGGGTTACCTTGTTTGTCTGTGGTCAACCTACATTCATTGGTCCAGTGTTTACCACATCTCCTAAACAAGCCAGAAGGCTGAGGCCTTCTGTTTGAAGCATTCCTGGGAGAAGCATTATTTCTAGAAATGCTTTGTTACAGTTCTTTCTGAGATGTTCTATTCTACCATAGTTTAAAAACCTAGTGTTTTGATGTCTTTGTAAACTTCTGGAGATTGCTTCCCCAACCCAGGTCTGTATCTCCTCATGTTTAGGCCATTTGTCATCTTGATGTCTCCTTAAGCCTTTAGAAATGGCCTCTCCTTCGCAGGTTCCTGTCTCTTGACCACTATACTTAATATTAGCTGTATATGAAACCCATTCTTCCAATGGCGCTGATTTGATCTTTTATGGCCATAGGACCTGTTTGCATTCTGGGTTTGCATTCTCACAAGCTAAGGATTTTATAATAAATCACCTAGTATTTGCATCAGTTACCTGTAAGTCTACAGCTCTGGACAATCTTTGTAAGATTTCAGGAAACTTTTCTCTAGGACCCTGTACCACTTTTGAACATGGTTCAACTTTTCTCCTTGTTCATGAGCCTTATTCAAAGCATTTAGCACTGCAGTAAGGCATAAAGAAAAGTGTATGTTCTTCAATTGCAGCTTCGGTCTGTGGGTCAGCAAATTCACCTTCACCAAGAATCTTACTTTGGGAAGATTCAAAGCCATGCTTCAAGCCTTGAAGTTCGAGGGCCTTGGCTTCCTGTCTCCTCAAAGCCTTCCATTGCATTTAGGAAGACTGGTCCAGCACTGCTGATATTAAATTATACCAATCTGTGAGAGCTTTTTTATTCATTTTTGGCCAGGAACTTAACAATTCCTTCACATAGGGGCTGTGAACCCCTTAAGGTACAATAGCTTGCTTAATTCATTTCAGATCTTTCTTAAGATTAGGTTCCCACTGCTAAGTGGTGTACCCATTTTAATTCCTCCGTGATGCTGGCCTTTCTGTCACAGTTACTGGAAAGGCCACCTTAGGAAGGTCTCCTGGGTGTCTAGTAGGTATACCTCCTTCTTTGTCTGGTGGCCTAGTTGCTAGTGCCTCAGGGTCTGATGTTTCAGACAGTGAATCTTCTAAAGATTGCAATTTTGTGACCATGTCATCTCTGAGGGTTTGGATTTCCTGCATCAAAAATTAGTCCAATGAATTGATATGCTCTTTGGACTGGTCAGTCAAGTGTTATCCAAATCTTTCATACTGTAGTCCCTAGAGGTTATAAAGGCATCTATTTTGCCTTCTAGAAATATTATCCTTTCATTGTCTTCAGACATTGAGTGAATTGTCCCTACTAATTTAATAAATTTTTCCTGGCTGGACTCTATCTTACCCATAAATGTAGTGGACATTTAATTAAATGTGTCTTGAAGGTTGTTCTGATGATGTTCCAAATTATCCATTTTGGTGGATAAGTCCCCCTTTTCCTGAAGATCCTGCATTTTTACACTAACTTTTGAATCATTTGTACAATTTGTCTATTATCTGTCTGTTTACTCAGTCTCTTACATGTGATTGATTACATGTATTAGAATGTTAACTGCAAGCATGAGACACAAATACTTTTGACATATATAATTGTCTTTTAACACATAATCCATGACATTTGTAATGAGATCTCTAACGTTCCGCAATGTTAAATTATCTGCTATGGTATAGTTAGACGTTCTTACCAACAATTATAAATACTTAATTGTAAAAATCACCTCTAGTTAGTTTTGGTCGATGAGAATAATCTTGCCTGTAGTTACCGTGGCTAGCCAGCAGATGGCTCGGGTCTACCGCCAAACACGGCTCCTCTTGCGGAAGAATGACTTTTTTCTCCTCAAAAGAACCTGTGAATGATACAACAGCCTGTACAAAAATTATCGAACACATTCAAGGAGGAAAAGGCTTGGAGAGGTTGAGGGACGCGCAGGTACAAATAGTCGTGAAATCGTATGGATTTAAGGGGGGTGGGCGGCAGGTGCGTGCTAGCACTTTGAGTTCAGCCTGTAGCAGTGGCCGCAGCAAGCACTTTGTGCCCGGGGCTTTATGGCAGGGCCTGGCTGGGCTTTGTGCTGTGACCTCTGCTCTGGCCTGTGGCACTGCTCCCAGCCCAGGGGGATTCTCCCCAGGCGCCAGCACAGAGGTACCTGTCCCGAGGCATGGTGGGTCTCTGATGGGTGGCTAGGAGATGCCGGGTCAGCACTCACCTCCTGGCTGGGCTAGTGGAGCAGAAGGCCACGCAGTGCAAGCAGGGCCATAAGCGGCTGCTCTGCACAGGCTGCGCAACCGGAGGTGGGTACGTGCACGGTTCCATGGGCTGACATTCTTTGGCACCGTCGTGGCACAGTGTGCCAGACAGGCAGCAGCACATTCGACCTGGGCTCGTCTCTCCAAGCCCGAGTTTGGCTGGGTAAAAAAGATGGAGATAACGCTATCTGAAAAAGAGGTCAAATATATTTTATTAAATATACTTACAAGATAACAATCTCATCTGCTCAGCTGTCTGGAAAGCTGTATAAAGGTAAAACTTGTGGGATGATTGTCAAGGCATAGGCTGTTGAGATGCCAATTTTATGAAGATAGTCTTCTCTTGTTAGAAGTATTGGCTGAGTATGGACATTTCCTTGGAGAAAGGAAATACCTGTGAAGAGTTTCTTTTATTTACATTTCTGACCTGTAGAAAGAAATGCATTTCATGAATTTGATGTAATACATCATTACTAAAGATCTGAGTGTTACCTTCTCTTTGAATAGTTAACTCTAAGCTTCTAAACTTTATATGAAGATTTCACCATTATTGGTTTCTGAATATATTATGTGATAGCCCTTTACCTGTTTGCACAGCCAGGCAATTGCAAATGTGAACAATGGGTATTTCATTTTATATTTTCTGTGAGTAAAAAATGTGATGAGTGATTCAGGAGGTAGGGGAAACAAAAAATAATTTCTAGGTGCTAGCTGCAGAAGGAAACAAAACTATATAACAAGAGAAAAAGAATAAAGGGACATAAGAAAAAATTGCAAACAAGCTGTATGTGATATTGGTGGCCTTCAGATTCAAAAATAAAAGCACTGAAGTTTTGGTGTATTGTGTTTCTGATTTTCCAATTTGTCTTATGAAACTTCTCAGTGGCAGAACCTTTGTCTAGGCAAATGGTTCAGAGAATGGTATGGAAGGAAACAGATTTAAGGAGGTGCTAGAACACTGCCTTTTATTTTTACATAGCTTTCCTGTGTTGGTGTGTGGATGTGGTGAGCTTCACATAGATGCCTGTGTTTATGTTTTCTTCCTTAGGCATTAGAGCAATATTAATCCTGTGTTTGGCTTTAAAAAATGCAAAGCAGATCTGCAGGTAAAATGTAATTTTTCTTAAGTAGTAGAATAGTAAAAGAAAATATGAAACTATTTTGCCTTTAAAAATTGTTTTTCAATCTTTTAAGGAAGGACTATCTTTCATGATTCTGTCACTTAAAAGGCATTTTTTCATCTCTGTGAGTTCGAGGCCGGGCTGGACTGACAGCCTCCAAAACAATAAAGAGAAACCCTGTCTCCTAAAAACCAAAAAAAAAAAAAAAAAAAAAGGCATTTTTTCTCTTTCTTGAATAGCAGCAGCCTTGAGGGAAAGTATAACTTCCTCTTGGAATATCAGATGAAAATTCCCAACAGATGTGAAGTATTAATTTGGCTTATTTAAGATTATTTAATTTGCCAGGCGGTGGTGGTGCATGCCTTTAATCCCAGCACTCGGGAGGCAGAGGCAGGCAGATCTCTGTGAGTTCAAGGCCAGGCTGTACCGACAGCCTCCAAAACAATACAGAGAAACCCTGTCTCGTAAATACCAAAAAAAATTATTTAATTTATTGATATGTTCCTTTTCATATTTGCAAAAGGATAATATTTTCATTTTGTGACATTGCATACAATAAAATTAATGGTTTCTTAGTTAATGGAATTTAGCACCTCATTGATTCACTCACGTACTCTCTTCAGGTTAGAGGTAAACTGGTCATTATCTCAACTAGAGATTAATAAATGCACTGTCTTAGGGTTGCTATTGTTGTGATGAAACACCATGACTAAAAGCAGTTTGGGGAGGAAAGAGTTCATATTGCTCATTCTTCCATATTGCAATTTACCATGAAAAGACATTCAGGGCAGGAACCTGGAGGCAGGAGTTGATGCAGGGACATGGATGGTTGCTGCTTAATGGCTTACTCCTTGTAGAGGGCACATCCAGCTTTCTTATAGATTTAGGAACCACTGACCTAGGAGTGGCATCAACTAATTAAGAAAATGCTTTTCAGGCTTCACCACAGAGATATTTTTTTTAATTTTTAAATTTAAATTAAAATTAGAAACAAGCTTGCTTCACATGTCAATCCCATGTCGCTCTCCCTTTCCCTCCCCTCCTCCCACAACCTCCCACTAACCCCCCCAATACCCGCTCCTTTCCCCAGGTAGTGTGAGGCCCTCCATGGAGGTGTCCACAGTCTGTCATTTTATTCAGGGAAGGGCCTACAACCTCCCCCAAGAATCCAGGGTGAGAGTACATCTCTTATTGTGGAATGGGCTCCCAAAGTCCATTTGTACGCCAGAGATAAATACGGATCTACTACCCAAGGCCCAATAGATTGCCTAGGCCTCCTCACTGACACCGACATTCAGGGGGTCTTGATCAGTCCCATGCTGGATTCCCAGGCATCAGCCTGGGATTCAAGAGCTAACCCTTGTCAGGTCAGCTGTTTTGGGGGTTAAACCAGTACAGTCTTAATCCCTTTGCTCATCAGTTTTCCTTCTCTGTCCTTGAGTTCAGCTCAGTGTTTAGTTGTGGGTGTCTGCTTCTGCTTCTATCAGTTATTGGTTGAAGGTTCTGTTTCCCAGACTCTCTGGTAGTGGGATTGTATGCTGGCACTCCCCTAATTCTAAAATCCATATATGAGAGAGTACATTCAATTTTTGTCTTTTTGTGACTCAGGATGGTTTCTTCTAGTGCCATCCATTTGCCTGCAAATTTCAGGATTCCATTGTTTATTTAGCTGAATAGTACTCCATCGTGTAAATATACCACATTTTCTCTATCTACTCTTCAGTTAAGGGGCATCTAGATTGCTTCCAGGTTCTGGCTATTACAAATAATGCTTCTTTGAACATAGTGGAACAGATGTCCTTGTTGTATGAATGTGCTTCTTTTGGATATATGCCTAAGAGTGAAGTTGCTGGTTCTTGTGGTACGCTGATTCCCATTTTTCTGAAAATCTCCATAATGATTTCCAAAGTGGCTATACAAGTTGGCACTCCCACCAGCAGCAGAGGAGTATTCCTCTTTCTCTACATCCTCTCCAGCATAAACTGTCATTGGTGTTTTTTATTTTAGCCATTTTGACAGGAGTAAGATGGTATCTCAGATTTGTTTTGATTTCCATTTCCCTGATGGTTAAGAATGTTCAACACTTTCTCAAGTGCCTCTCAGCCATTTTAGACACCTCTATTGAGAGTTCTCTATTTTGATCTGTAGCCCACTTTTTAATTGGGTCCTTTGGTGTTTTGGAGACTTGCTTCTTGAATTCTTTGTAAATTTTGGAGATCAGCCCTCTGTCAGATGTGGGGTTAGTGAATATCTTTTCCCATTCCGTGGCCTGCCTTTGTGTCTTCTTCATTGTGTCCTTCACCTTACAGAAGCTTCTCAGTTTCAGGAGGTCCCATTTATTAATTGTTGATCTCACTGTCTGTGCTACTGGTGTTATATTCAGGAAGCTGTCTCCTGTACCAATTTGTTCAAGGGTGCCTCCTACTTTCTCTTCTAACAAGTTCAGTGTGGCTGGATTTGTGTTGAGATCTTTGATCCATTTGGACTTAAGTTTTGTGCATAGGAATAGACACGGATTTATCCGCATCCTTCTACATGCCACTATCCAGTTATGCCAGTACCATTTGTTGAACATGCTTTCTTTTTTCCATTGTATATTTTTAGCTTCTTTGTCAAAGTTCAGATGTTCATACATGTATGGGTTAACATCACGGTGTTCAGTTTGATTCCATTGGTCTACCTGTCTGTTTTTGTGCCAAAACCAAGCTGTTTTCAGGATTACAGCTCTATAATAGAGCTTGAAGTCAGGGATGGTGATGCCTCCAGATGTTGCTTTGTTGAATAAGGTTGTTTTGGCTATCCTGGGTTTTTTGTTTTTCCATACAAAGTTGATTAGTGTTCTTTCACAGTCTGTGAAGAATTGTGCTGTTTTTTTAATGGGGACTGCATTGAATCTGTAGATTGATTTTGTCAGGATTGCCATTTTTACTTCATTGACCATACCTATCCAAAAACATGGGAGATCTTTCCATTTTCTGATGTCTTCTTTAATTTCTTTCTTTAAAGATTCAAAATTCTTGTGGTACTTGTCTTTCACTTATTTGGTTAGCATTACTCCAAGATATTTTATGTTGTTTGTGGCAATTGTAAGGGTGATGTTTCTCTGATTTCTTTCTCAGCCCTTATATCATCTGTATATTTTCTTGAGTTGATCTTGTATCCTCCCACTTTGCTGAAAGTATTTATGAGCTGTAGGGGTTCCCTGGTAGAGTTTTTCTGGTCTCTTGTGTAAACTATCATATCATGTGCAAATAGTGAAATTTTGACCTCTTCCTTTCCAATTTGTATCTCCTTGATTTCCTTTTGTTGTCTTATTGCTCTAGCTAGAACTTCAAGTAAAATATTGAAAAGGTATGGAGAGAGTGGAGAGCCTTGTCTTGTTCCTGATTTTAGTAGAATCACGTTGAGTTTTTGTTCATTTAGTTTTATGTTGGCTGTTGTTTTGCTGTATATAGCTTTTATTATGTTTAGGTATGTTCCTGCTATCCCTGATCTCTCCAAGACCTTTATCATGAAGTTGTGTTGGATTTGTCAAGGCTTTTTTAGCATCTAGTGAGATGAT